TTTTTGGAAAAAAGTTACTATTTTAAATCTCCCCCAATGAGCAGGTTAAGTGTTAGATTTTCAAAAAAATGATATCAAATGAAAGGGAAATATCTAAGGTTTCAATACAAAAAAATATTATTTTTATTTGTTCATTTTTGAAAAAGTTATGGCAGTTTTAAGTACAAAAAATATCCCGATAAAAGGTCATTTTTATCGCAAACATTACATTTTTTTTTAAATTTTCGACAGCCATTTGCACATAGAAGATAAGATGTCGGGACAAATTTTTTTTTTTCATTTGATAGTATATAACATAACCTTTGATTTGATATATGTTTAAAGGACGCAGTATTTCCGGAACATTTTCAAAAGTTCAGTTGAAAAAGATCTATGTTTTTTACAATATTTTAAGTTTTGAACGCCCCCTATATAAGGGGAAATTGTCCAATTTTAATAAAAAGTATGTCAAATGAAAGATGTACTTATAATGTATTTAGAAAAAAAAAATTTGTGCTGATATATACATTTTTCAAAAAGTTATAGCATTTTTAAGTTGAAAATTTAAAATCGAAAATCGAAAATTTTAACACAAAAATAGTGTTTTTTTAACTACGGCAGCCGTTTAAATGTAGAAGAAAAAGTGTCGGGACAAATTTTTTTTTTTCATTTTATAGTACATAAAATAAGCTTTAATTTGATATATGTTTAAAGGACGCAGTATTTCCGGAACATTTTCAAAAATTAAGTTGAAAAAGTTAGTTTTTGTAAAAAAGTTGCTATTTTAAATCCCCCCCAATGAGCAGGTTAAGTGATAGATTTTCAAAAAAATGATATCAAATGAAAGGTAAATATCTAAGGTTTTAGTATAAAAAAAAATTATGTTGATTTGTTGATTTTAAAAAAGTTATGGAAGTTTTAAGAAAACAAAGTGAAAAAAATGACAAAAATTAGCGATTTTTAAATTTGTAATTTTTTTGGATATTTACCCCATTCTCGGTAAACGAGGGAATTTTTTTCAATTTTTAAGGGTAATGTCTTCAACTAGATACAATTTGTGATCTTTTGACGTATTTTTGAAAGAAATCGGTCCAGTGAGAGCTGAGAAAAAGTGGCAACAGACATAAAAAAAAAAAAAAAAACACATCATAGTAAAATTAATACCTTCTCCGCTTCGCATCGAAGCTAAAAAAAAATCATAGTAAAATTAATACCTTCTCAGCTTCGCATCGAAGCTAATAATAATAGTTTTATGTAGATTTTAGCTAATTAGTTACATTTAAAAGCTAATAATTTTAAATTGAAAAACATATAACACATATCAATGTCTAAAATCATTAGTAAAATCTATTTTTGTTTATTACCTTTACAACTATTTATTTTAATAGTACTTCTCTAATAAATAGTATAAAAGTGTTTACTTCTCAGATATAATGTAATATATTCATTGTTATATTGTATAGTAGCAATAATATATAACGGCGTATAGTATAGGTAATTTATATACATTTTTAAAAATGTATATTATTTATCTTAAGTTTAATGTTTCACATATATCAGAAATAATAACTTTATTTAATACTATATTATAATAAAATATACATTTTATTATAGAAATATCAATTTTTGTATTAATTGTTATCATTTGATTTTTAGTTAACAATTCGTAAAAAAACATAAAATTACTATTATAAGAAAAATTATACACATTTATATGTTTTAAACTAATAACTTTTTACAAAAATTTTTATTTTAAATAGAAATTTTTTTTTATAGACTTATCACATTTTTTCACGCGTATATAAATTTAATTCAGATTTAGTTATTCAAATTATTATACATAGATACTCTAATATTCATACATTTTATTTTTGTTTAACATAAAAATAATTTATAGCTATTCGACTTCATGAAATGTTAAAGAAAAACATCACTCTAACAAACAATTATTTAGAGCCAACTTTTTCTAACTCACTGAATTTCAATTGTTGTATTTGTGTATTGGTCATCGTTATTTTATAACTGCGTTCAATTGATTGTTTGATATCTACTCCCATTAAAGAGTCCATACCTAAATCAGCCAATGTAGCTGTTGGTTTTATAGAATCTGGATCTTGAATACCTATAGTATGAAATTGTATAATGAACTTTATTATAAAAATAATAATAATTCTCCTTTATTTTATAATAAATAAACTAATAACATTGTTTTATTTTAAAGGATAAGAAAATTAATTAATTATTTTTAACTCATTAAATTAAGTTAAAAACTATCTTATGTATATTTTTTAACTTAGTTATTAAAAAAAAAAACGAGAAAAAAAATTTGAATTTATTATTATAATTTTTGAATAGACATAAATGTAATACGTTATCAAAATAAAAGTATTAGCTAATTAGGTTTGAAGCTACACATTAACCAAAAGTTATCTAACTTAATCAAAACATTTTTATACATAAAATTCAGAAATTTTTATTTATAAAATTCATACCCATAATATTAGCAACAATAGTTGTTAATGATTGCACTTCAGAACTACTGGATTGTTTTCTTTTATTAGGTATTACATGTGAAGCCACCACAGGTGATTTACATGGCAAAATTATATCCAATACTTTTAAGCAAGATGATATTTTTTGACCCAAAGTTCCATTTATTTCTTTTTCATCATTTCCACGAGTTAAAAGGTATGCCATTCCAACGTCACCAATACCTCCCCATTGAATTGATTGCTAATAAAAAACAAATATTTAATTTATTATTAATAAATTTACCATATTCTTACAGCTGCGAGGCCTAGTTTTTGTCTTTCTTCTGAAATTCTTTCCATTATTGAATTGGCATAACCATAATTTGTTTGGCCCCTATTTCCTCTTCCACAAGATATCGATGAAAATGTAACAAAGTAATCTAAATTCTCAGCTAAACTTCTAGATGCTTCATCTAAGTATTTAGTAGTTAACACTTTACTGTCATACACAATATGGAAGTTAGCAACTATTTGATTCTCAAAAATAGCGTCTCGTAAAACCTTAATAACAAATTACTATTGTTAAATACACCTGTACAAATTGCTATAAATATATATCTTACGCCGGCTAAATTGAATATTCCACTGACTGGACCCAAGCTTGAGGCTAACTTTAATGTCTCTTTAGCACCTGATAATGTAGTAAGATCGTACGTACTAATTTCAATATTAGCTCCTTGTTCCTTCCAACAACTAACTCTATATTTTTGATATCCAGTTTGTAATCCACTTCTAGAGCAAAGGACAATATTTTTTGCACCGCGGGTTATTGCCCAATCAGTAAGTTCGAGTCCAAATCCACCAAGACCTCCTAAACAGATATGTCATGATAATTATAAAATAATTTATTCCCAAAATAAATTATTTATGTTACCTGAAAGAATGTAACTTTTCTTTGTATCAAAGTATATTCGAGAATTTGTTTTAAAGTGTTTCTTTATGGAATTTCCATTTACTTCTACAATGATTTTCTTTCCAGATTTATTATTATTGTAAGTTCTTGAAAAGAAATAGATTATAAATAAAGAACTGCAAACATAGTTAATTATTTAAAAATATTGAAAGTATACCTAAAAGCTGATTCGATATCTGAATACAAGAATTCAATATGCGGTAAAGGTTTAATGAGATCATTTTTTATTTTTATGTCCATTAACGAATACAAATCAGTATTTTTTTCTTTTACTAAGGATAAAACTTCATTTGATTTAACTGATAATACTCCAAATGTAACTGAAGATTCTAAAACAATATTAAGAGTATAAAAGTTTTTTTTTACTATTTAGAAATTGTTATGTAAAAGTTACTTGATAGGGCAGACATGTCTATATCTTCAATAACAATTACAGTAGAATTTTCAGCAAGTAATTCTGGTAATCGCTCTGATATATTATTTGATGCAACAACGTAATCTACACCGTGGTTGCTAGTAGAGTGTAATACCATATTGACAAATTTTGTATCAATTTTAGTGGTTGATAATTGACTGATCTAAAATTAAAAAAAAAACTTAAATCTGATTAAAATTGTATGCATGTAATCGTGTCAAGCGAAAAATTAGAATAAGGGTGACCGACCCCAAGTAATTGAAATAAAAGCAAGGAAAAAGAAGAAGAAAATATATTTTTTGTTACTTACGCCAGGGAAATGAGTACTTATAAATTCTAAATGATTTGTAGACTCAGCAACAACAAAAACTTTGCACTTCAACGATAAAGATAATGAAATAATAGCATAATTCACTGGGTTTTCATTAGCATATACTAGGACATTTTTGAGCCCTGGGAGTTTTCCTTTGTGTACTAAAGCATACGTAGCCTATAAAAAAATTCTTAGGTAAATATTAGTAAAACAACATAAAATAAAAATTTACCATAGAAAAAGCGAATGGTACAGTTGCTGCTTGTTGTAAAGTCCAATTTTGAGGAACATCCCATAAAAGAGCATAATTTTCATTAATTGAAGATGATAATGCTCCAGAATGTACTAATCCCATTACCTTTTTACCATTTGATTTTATTCCAGAAAATTCAACTCCAAATTCAGTTTTCTGGTAAAAATATATATTATACTTCAAAATTATTCTTTATTTATTAGTAATAAGTATATTTTGGCTTTTATTTATTGAAATATAAACGAAATTAATTATTTATATCCCAACTAAGTAAAAAAATGTATATTAGTTACGCAATAAGCTATTTTTAATATTGAATTTAAATAGATAAAACATTCAAATGGACTGAGAACAAAATTTTTTTGGTTTAGTTAGGGTGCAAAAAAAAAATTTTTGTTGAGTAAATATTTTTTAATTACCATTGAAGAAACTGCATTTAAATCAACATTATTTATACCAACATAAGAAATTTTGATTGAATTGTTTCCAGTATCTTTTAAATAGCTGTGAAAAAAATATTTATTGATATTCTAAAAGATAGTGAGAACAGTATTTCTTATTAAAAAATATCGGCATAGCTTACTTAGATGCTTGTACCCACTGCAATGTCGTCAGATCACCTTTTGATTGTACTGTTGCCACTGCATCTGACGTTTCCATGGTCGAAAATATGTTTCTATCAATTGGTAAATGACGATATGATCCCCATTTACCATCTCTTTCTACGTTGAAGAATAGATCTACTTCCAAAAGAGGAGCAAAATCTTTTAAAGTATATTTTTTACCAGGACCAGCAAGTATACACCTAAATAAATCCATATTTTAACTATATATGAAATTTTTATTTAAAAATTATATTTATATAATATTTATATAAAAATAATATTTATTTATCTTACCTTATTGGATTATCAATGCCTGAATATTCTTCAACTAAACATTTAGCCAAACCAAGAACACCATTAATGTTTTTATCGCTGTACAATATTATTTTCATATTAAGATTATTTCTATGATTTTCTAATTCTTTTTTAAGAGAGTCGAACCAAGAAAATTCTTCATCTTCGATTTTTAAGGTAGTATATTCGTATTTTGGAGATACCTGTATAATTATTATATGAAAGCAAGTAACGGGAAATTTATATTGAATACCACTTACTTTTTTTAATAAGAAGTACTTTTTGGCATTGTTTTCTATTACAGCAACTTGTTGGAGATCCACAGAGCTTGAAGTTGTAAATTTTGCAGATGTATTTTCAATCAAAAGTACAAAACCTCTAAAAGTTAACGCTGAAGAAATTTTGTTTAATATATCTGTATCAAATTGTGAATCTTCGAATACAATTAAGTGGTACTCTTCAGGTAAAGGATCGATTTTTATGTTATGATTGACGCTCTTAATATCTAGAGCCAACAATTTATTTTCATCAAAATTAATTGCACCGTTTGACAAAATAGAATAATCAGCCTATTAATAAAGTATAACCGATTTAATAAATAAATTATTTATTAGTAAATAGAAGCAAAATGAATTTTGTGTATACAATACATACATAAAAATTCGCTTCAGCTTCAATAATTTCAACAATATCAGTAGCAAATACATTCTTATTATATATTTCTGCTACTTTTAAATGATGTGTTCCTACATTTTCCATAATTAATCCAACCATTGCATAAAGAACTTCATAAGTTGATAGATTATTATTCTAATAAAATATAATTTTTTTTGAAATCATATTTATATTTAATTTTATATAATAAACTTACTACATAATTATAAGGTATAAATGAATGATGTTCCAATGTTGGAGCAGGCTGTGTATTTTTTTTCAGTGGCGCTGGTGTTACTGTTAATTTTGATATTGTAACACCACCAGATTGTGTAGTCTTAGCATAAGCAAAATGATTGACTTCTATTTCTGTTAAATCCATAATACCCATTACCACCCTATTTTGTTATTATTTTAAATAATTTACCTTTTGAATTTAATGATTTTTCATTCATAGATTTAAAATATAATGGGTCGATAACGACTTCTTTTATATATGTTGGTAAACGAAGTTTTCTGGATTTTTTAGATATTAGTTCAAATTGTAATAAAGTATCAATATATGAAACCCAATTTCCTGTCCAAGCTACTTTACCCTTAGAACCTATAAATAATTTTTATATAAGTTACATTTTTACATAAAATGTCTCAATCAATTTTTTATATGTACCTTCAATATTTGCTTCAATAAATCCTAAGAAATCATCTTTGTATTGGTATCCACGCAATCTAAGCTCTTTATAGAAATCATCAGGTTTTAAGTCCATCTTTTCAGAAACAGATGAAATATGTTGAAGTTTATTTTCATAAGTGCTTTCGTTTGATAAACGTATATTACCGGAAACTGTTAGTGAACCGCCTTCAAGTAGCTCAAAATCACCGGAACTATTTAAAATGTTGATTTCAAACTTAACAATTGCTGTAAAATTAGTAAAATTATTAACTTTATTAATAGTACAAAAAATTACTAAATAGTTAAATATAACTCACTATCATGGTTTAAAACAGTAGGCCTCAAAAACTTTAAATTTTGGAAAACAACAGGTACATCTTCAAACCATTTCCCCTGTAGTTTTGCAAATGCTTTCCATATAAGAGTCTTAAAATTATAATTACTAGTTATAACATTTAAAATTGTTTGAATAATAATAGAGGACTCTCGTCGAATAAGATTGAAATAAAGAGTTTTTATTATATTAGCTTTATATAAATATACTTTATAAGATAGTTCATAAAAATCATTTTACTTGCCATGTATCCTGCAGCTGGGTATAATACACGACCATCTATTGTATGACCAACTAAATATTTGTCTTGATCTGAATTTATTGACACCTCAACTACATTTTCATTTGAACCAGAACCCTAAAAAAGAAAACAAATCAATTATCTTATCTTATAAAACTTTAGTTTATATGTCATACTTTTTCCACAAAATTAGGCACTACATATTCATTCGAATGATCCCATTTTATCATAGGAGATATCATAGGAGTATTTTTTGAAACTGGATACTCTACTTTACCATAAAGATTTTGTAAATCTAGTTCGGCACCAGCAATATAAAGCCTATAAAATCACCATAATAAATTTAATTGTTTTGAATTTATTTTAAAGTGATGCTATACTGAAAATAAAATATTTCATTGTTATCCAAATTTGTATTTCAAGTTAAAATTAAATTAATTTGTACGAAAATGATTTAAAAGATCACTTATAAATTTCTTTGAAATTCTTATATATTTTAAGTAATTTTATAACGATATTTATGGTTCAACTCAATAATACGACACAAACATTTTTAACGAAAATGAATTAGTGTCAATTGTAATAATACACGTATAAAATAAAATAAATACAAAATTGGAAAGTGAAAACTTAATAATTAAACTACTAGATTATATATAAAACTGATAAGTTATAATTGTTTTATAAATGTAAAAATGACTCTCTTAAAAAAAAGGCAAAAATGCTTAATGCGTTTTAGTAATAAACCATAGATTTTATTTTTATTATAATAAATAGAATCATTAATTAAATTAATAAATAATTAATTATTTACTTTCCAATAGCTTCTAATAAATATAACGTATGATCTGGAGCTTGTTTCTTAGTTAAACCCACATTTGTAACTGTGGGAGGTAAGGCTCTCTTTAAAATTGCTTGTAAGAGACAATGCGAAGCAATTTCAATTGTAATGGCATTTTCTGGTATATGTTGCAAAGCTCCATGGAAATATACAGGAGAACTAATATTATTCAAATGATATTCCATTGATGAGTATTTGGCTTCTTCTGTATTCCATTGGCTTTCTGGTAGAGATGTACTCTTCCATCTGTTAGTTCTTGGTTTTGGATTTGTCATTATCTAAAATATAGTTGATTAAAATCTAAATACTCTTTTATAAATAGATAATCACATTATTACCTTAGAATAATAAGGTTTAAGAGCTGGAATTAGTTTTTGTAAGTAAGGTGAGTGGAAGGCATATCCTAATGAATCAACGGGTTTAGCGAATATTCCTTCATTTTGTAGAGTTTCTGCAAATTTTAATGTAATATCTTTTGGTCCAGATATTGTGACGCTATCTGCACTGTTATGACAAGCAGCAATTATTCCTTCTGGTAATCTTTTGATGGTTTCTTCCCATGACAATCCTACAGCAACCATAGCACCAGGAATAATATCAATTTCCATCAAAACACGAGACCTCCAATACATAGTCATCAATGTTTGTTCCACTGTAAAGCAACCATCTGCATAAGCACAAGCTAATTCTCCGACTGAATGTCCAATTATTCCATCAGGTATGATTCCCAAGGATGAAAGTATATCAGTCAAACCCATCTAAAATGATTTTACATTAGTATATACAGTAAAATCAGGATAATTTTACTGTTTATTGATATGCAAACAATTTTGGTACAAAAGCAAATATTAAATAACATTTTTTTGAGAATTTGATAGTAGTAAAGAGTATCTCAAAAAGATCACTGAATATTATAAGGCTGCCATTTTGGTTTTTTTTTTTTTTTGGTACCATTGGTTTTGCTATTTTTATTATTTGTTATAATTAATATTTTATGTTGATTAGGATTTTTGTGGTTCTTAATGATTGTCTGTGATATGTCGTAATGGAAAGGTCCAGTAAAGAATAGCGTATTTTTATAGTGAAAAATCACTATCAGAATGGTGAACTACGCATTGACTGTACAATAACTCCGTACAATTCTTGGACATCACAAAGCAACAAATGAATAAACTATCCGTTCGTTGTTTAGGAAATTCAATACAAGACGACAAAATCCCCGGGCACCCTCGAAGTGTCTGAAAGATGAATATTTCTATTGTGTATGATTCTATTATTTTGAGTACAAAAACATCGTATTGTTGTACAACATACGATAACAACCGTCGTACACAAAAAATGCATATGTCGCCAGCAACATTGCAAAGAATTTAAACAAAAGATTTGCATTTACGTGCGTATAAAATTCAATTAATACAGGAACTTAAAGCAGTGAATCACGAAAAACGACGGCAATTCGTTGAATGGATCCTGGAAAAGGAACGAAGGTTATGCAAAACGCATTATTTTGATATAGTCCACACAGTCTACTTTTGAAGAAAATAATATATTTTTTGTTTAAAAAAAAAAAAAAAATGATTTATAACAGTTGTATATTCAGCATTTTTAAAGAGACACCCTATATTAATTTTCTAAATTTTTGTGTATAAAAAAATATTAAGTCCACTACATTTTTGGAAATCAAATAATTTTTACAAATTATTTGATACCTATGTACATTACCTGAACAATAACTATTGTTATGGTGACGTTTGTTATATCTTTAAATGTATCTTCATTTGATTTATAAAACAAATCATTTACGCTAAAACCATACGGAAGAAGTATTTTATGAGCCCTTTCAACAAGATTTTTAAATACTGGGAACTTTATTAAATCTTTCACTAATTCTAATGACTGACTCCCCATGCCTGGAAAGATGAAATAAATTGGTCTTTTATCACCAGATATGTTACCTTGCTAAAAAAAAATACCAATATTTAAACTTTTATAATTATTAATTATACATACTATATAATTTTTAGTAATCAAAAATTCATTCTACAATTAAAAAAATTATTTAAATATAACTTTTCACAATCCAAAGTTATGTTTCACTTGCTTAATATCAGATTAAAATAAAACACGTTTAAAAAAAAACAAGTTAAATATATCATATTTCCAATTATATTATAATTATAAACATGTTTATGCATACCGCGATTTCAACATTTGATGGATTTTGTCCAAGAATAGAGTATCCAGAAAGTTTGTACCCAGGAATTGGTTTTTTGTAAATGTCATCAATTAATGTTAATAAATCAGCATTATTTGCATGTTTTTCAATCTAAATTATAAAATATTTAATAATAGGATAAGTTTACCCAATATAGTTACATTAGTACCATTTGTGGCCTCTTTGTTATTTAATCTGTAAATCATAAACTATACGAATGATTTTTGAAATCATTTTATTTTTAAGAATAGTGTTAAGTTTTAGACCATTTTATTGAAAAAACTTAAACAATTAATTCTTATATAGATAAACTTAATTTGTAGGAACAAATGGTACTCTGGCCGGTGTAATCACAACATACAATTTCAAATTGTTCATTTAAGCTTTCTCTAGTTCTCCCTGATAAAAACACTAATCTTGGTATATCTTGTTTAAGTAAACTATGCTTCTGAGTATTTTTATTGTGCGCTTTAAGTATAATATGGACATTGGTACCTCCTACACCAAATGAGTTTATAGATACTAAATCTCCGGGTAGTGGCATTTGTTTATCGACAACCTATATGTTTGAAAAGTAATAATGAAAAAATAAAAATTTTTTAAGATTTCAAGGTTTATATAAAAAATGTTTTCAATTTTACCTTAAGTTCTCCACTAACAAGTTTCTCTATATTGTGATTTAAAGTTTCAAAATTAATATTGGCAGGTATTATTCCTGTTTCCAAAGCATAAATAACTTTAGCAATAGAAACTAAACCCGATACAGGTTCAGAATGACCAACGTTTGATTTAACCGATCCAATTAGCAAAGGACTTTTGCGGCCTTCGCAAAAAACATCTGATATAGCATCCAATTCTTGTTTATCACCAACCTATAAATATAAAAGTATTTTTTACTTTTTTTTTATTATAATTTTTTTTAAATATACCCCAGTTCCGGTTCCGTGTGCTTCAACATAATGTACATCTGTGGGCTTTAAATTGGCTCTAGCATAAGTAGCTCTGATAAGTTCACTTTGTACGAAACGTGATGGATAAGTTGCTCCTTGTGTTTTAAAACCATCTGTATTGGTGTAAGATCCAACTACAGTAGCATAAATTCTCTTTGCGTCTTTAGATTTTCTTATGTATAAAGCAACAATTGCTTCACTTCTAACATAACCATTAGCTAAAATATATATAAATACCTCATATTACACACATTAAATGACTATAGTTTAATAAATAATTATAATAATAATTACATTAGATATAAACTTTTTAGTGTAATTCAAATACAGTTAAAATTTAATTTAAATTCTAATAACCCATGTAATTTATCCGTATAAATCACTTACCACCAATATCAAAAGGCCTACTCGTCCCTGTCGGACTAAGCATGTTGTACTTGTGATACATGACAGAAACGGCTGGTTTGAGTAATAAATTAGTACCAGCTACAATAGCAGCATCACAATGACCACTTTTAATTGCTGAAATTGCTTCATATAAACAAAACAGACCACTTGAACATGCTGTGTCTATTGCTACACTTGGACCTATGATAATCAAAAATCACTTAGCTTCTATTTAAATAACAAATATCTAAAATAAAATACCTTTTAAATCATACTGAAATGAAAGTCTGTTAGCCAACATAGACCTAATAGCGCCGATGGTTTCATATCCACTAAGCTTTTCAGGAGTGCGCTCAAAAAAGTCTGAAGACTCTGTAGTCATCATACCAACGTACACTCCTGTGTTAGTGCCACGAATTTCTTGCGGATTGACACCTTTAACAAATAAAAATTATCAACATGATTTTAATTGTCTATAAAAATAACTCTTACCAGCGTCCATAATAGCTTCATGTGTTACTTCCAACAAAATTCTAAGTTGTATATCCATAGAATTAGCCAACTTTGCGTGAATTCCAAAAAATTCCGCATCAAATTTATTAATTTCTTTCAATTTTCCTGAACGAGATGGTGCACCATACATACCTACATAGAAAACAAATGAGGCCAAGTTACATTTTCGTTTAAAATAAACTACTTTTTTGTTCAATAATATAATTATAAAATTCTTGGTAACTTTGAAATTAAAACATATCATAGTAATTTCTTTAGTACTATTTGAAAGACAAATAATACTGTATACTTTAGTAACTGTATTATTATACATATTATTAATTATGAATAAATGACAAATTTACCAGGTGACCATCTTCTGTTGTCAATTGTCAACAAATCTGCATTGTTATACAACTTTTCTTTGAATTCTTCAGTAGAATCGCATTCTGGAAACCTTCCAGCAATTCCACTTATAACTACTTCTGATTGTTCCGGCATCCCTTAAAAATATTAAAAATTTTATTTTCAACAATTTAAAATTAATTTTGACATATTCACACACATACTCAAATATATATACATCGATTAAATTTATATTTATATTTATAAAACATAATAAATATCAATTTTATTTAAAAAACGCATCGAAGCTAAAACTTATTTCTAAGGGTATATATACGTTTACGTAATATAACGTTAAGAGTAACGTTTGAAAGTTAAATAGAAACCTAAAATTATATATAGCTATTAAATGGGGAATGGATTAAATAAAAATTTGACTGGCCAATATACAGTCTTGTATAATTACTATTTGAGTTAGTATAACTTTTAATTATAAACAAAAGGTGTGCACAACAAATCTTTAAATTATAGTAAAAGTACGTCACTAAATACTTACATACTCTTATCTTTTCTAAATATTTAAATGTTAATATCTCAAAAATAAATGCTATAAACGAGTAATCGAATTCAATATTTTATTATATCCTTTCCCTAGTTAATAGTAAAAAAAACCAGCACATACAGAGTGGCCCACCACTCACTGACAACTTAAATAACTTTTGATCCAGTTAATATTTTTAATTGATTTTTTTTTTTAATAATAGTTATACGTTAGGTCTATAGCTATATCTCAATAATTAATTTTTTTACATTTTATTAAAAATATTAATTATTTTTAAATTTTAAATAAAATGTAAAAAAAAAATCTAAGATAGCTATTTTGTAGAGTAGAATTTAAGAAAAATTTTAGTAAAAAAATATCTTATTAATATTCAGTAGTAAATATTCTGTAGCGTTTTGAAGTTTGTGAAAATTTGAATTTTCATGTACTATTTTACGGTATTAAACATTGAAATACGTATTGAGAAAAGGACAGAAGAAAACGCTATCTTTTCAATATACTTTTGAATGAGAGTGATAAGTAATAATTGCCTTATCTAATTTCTTATCATGGTATTAATGCCAAGTTTGTAATGTATACACACTATCATCATATGTATACACAGTAATCATGAAAAGATAGCGTTTTCTTCTGTCCTTTTCTCAATACGTATTTCAATGTTTAATACCGTAAAATAGTACATGAAAATTCAAATTTTCACAAACTTCAAAACGCTACAGAATATTTACTACTGAATATTAATAAGATATTTTTTTACTAAAATTTTTCTTAAATTCTACTCTACAAAATAGCTATCTTAGATTTTTTTTTTACATTTTATTTAAAATTTAAAAATAATTAATATTTTTAATAAAATGTAAAAAAATTAATTATTGAGATAGACCTTACGTATAACTATTATTTAAAAAAAAAATCAACTAAAAATATTAACTGGATCAAAAGTTATTTAAGTTGTCAGTGAGTGGTGGGCCACCCTGTATATGACATAGTTGGGTCAAGTATAATATATCTGACAGTGATTAAAATCACTATCATATAAAACGCTTTGGTGCAAATCAGTAGATAATGTTTAATTTTAAAAATTGGTAGATTATTCCAATAGCTACAAGATCTCCTATTTTCTTATTTTTATCCCGATTACAAGTTTTATGATTTATAAGTGTAATATATAAATATATAACGGAAAATGGTGTTATTCAACATAAAGTATGTCGAAAGAATGAGGAATATAAATATTATTTCCCATAAAAAAATTGTATCGATTCATACACTTTTCAATAATTTATAGCATAATAAATTTAAAAATTTAAAATATAAAATCGAGAATTTTAACACAAAAATAACATTTGGTAACTATTTTCAACGTGAAGACAAAATAAAGTTCGAAATTTTTTTTTCCATAATAAAGTATATTACATTATCTTTAATTTGAGATATATATAAAAGTGTCAGAGTTCCCGGAACACTTTCAAAAGTTAAGTTGAAAAATACATTTTTTTGTAAAAAAGTTGTCATTTTGAATCCCCCGTGGACAGGCGAATAGCAGATAAAAAAATATATATACTAAATAATACATGATTACCTCATGTATTTATAAAAAAAACTATTTACGGGGAACGAGGGAAGTTTTTCAATTTTTGAGGGTAATGTCTTCGACTAGATACGATTTGTGATCTTTTGACGTATACTTAAAAGAAATCGGTTTGGTGAGAGCTGAGAAAAATTAGTAACAGACACGAAAAAAAACACATCATAGTAAAACTATTACCTTTTCAATTTCGCATCGAAGCTAAAATAATTATATATTCCTGTTTGATTTTCGAAAGTTACTCCTAAAACCTACCCTTAATATAAGAATAAATCAATTTTATATCTATATATTATTATGAAAAATCATTATTTAACAAAAAATTAGGGGTTAGTAATCTAAATAAATCACATTGTATATACAATTTTAAAATGTATGTTGGAACAAATTATATTTTATTTTACTCTGTATACACATAAAAAATTTTATCATTTTATATTTGTCAGTTCTATATGGAAAGCGATAGGTGGATCGTCCCTTGATACTTTTTATAAATATTATAGGGAGAAATATTTAATATGCAATAGATACGGTTATTATCACAAAATCCATATAATATTAAATAAAAAATCCTTGTACAGTGAAGACACGGTACAATGAGGACTAATATAGATGATATTTGACTGAGATCAACATCATTATCATAAAAGTGCTTCAACGCAAATCTGTTTAATTTTTGTTTAGAAATCACTATTTATACAAGCTTTAAGGTTTTATTTTATACAAAGTGATCGGTTTATTATAATCCACTCGATTACTTGCAAAATAAATACAATATTGGAATAATATATTTTGATTTCTTTTAGTTGCATATTATACAAAGTCGTACCGTGGTAAATGTTTTTCACTAACGGTAGAATGCTAATAGGGAGGAAATGAATCAATGGCTAGAGGTGTGGAGATTAGCTGTTAAAAAAAGGAATTAAGAATAAGTAAGAGTAAGACAGAGTATTTAGAGTTTAAGTTTGACAAAGGAGAACATGAAATAGGTGAAATGAGATCAGTGATAATAAGCAAGGACGTGACAGGTAAAAAAGAAAGTTTTAAGTATTTAAGATCAGTTGTGCGAAATAACGGTGGTATTGATGAGGATTTAAGACACAGGATTAAGTGTGGGGGGACGAAGTAGAGAGACCAACTATGATGTATGACTCACCCTGTTGAACTGTTGACAAACGAATAGAGCAGATCTCCTTATGTTATGACGAGAGAAGAATCGGAAGCTGTATGAACAGTTATAAAAATGAATTTTGAAAGAAGATGAGGTAGAAGAAGACCAAAAAATTTTGGAGAGATGTTATTAAATGCGTTATGAGAACAACTAATGTTCACGTAAATGATGTGAGAGATCGTGTCAAGAGGAAATTTAAGATAAGGGTGGCGGACTCCAAGTAGTTGGGATAAAGGCGAGGATAAAGAAGAAGAAGAAGACTGGTTGATAACAACTTTTGGACCAGCATTTCAGAAATTGTTAACAATTTCAAGTTATGATTTGAGGTGATTTTTCTTTATGATTAATAATGATAAATCATTTCCCCCCACATTGTTCCTAGTCCTGCCTAGGTATAAAAATGAAATAACAAGTACTGGTCCAAAAATTGTTATCGGCCAGTCATTTTATTAATTAGATTAATTAATTAATTAGATATTCTATGTTACAAGTTAATGAAACGTGAATAATATCATTAAAAAAAAATAAAGTTGACACCCTATGCGTTATAAGGGATGATTCTAAAAAGTAATTAATAATTAATAAATCAAGAAATATATGTAACTAATAAAAATCATTTTTTTTCAAAATGATAAACATGACTAGTAATTATCAGCATGATAAACCTCTATATATATATATATTTTAGATAATCATAAAAATCGACTTATAATAATGCCTCATTCTAGAAAAGAAATATAATTCGATATTTTAATTTGATAAATCATTTAACGACTATCTTTCTTTGACAATTTTTAACATATTTAAAAAATATTCCGTTTTCACTGATTTGGTCATTATATTTTGCATTTGTTGTGTGTATAATTTATCGTAGTGTGCAGCTGAAGGATATACACTATCATTTCAAATTTATTGATTGTTAAGTGATTGTTATTTGATTATTAATTATGATGAACATATATATATTTTACTATAACAAGACATCTAAAGTTTTGAAGTGTTTACATTCAAAATGATTGTAGTCAATTCTACGCTTGATATATTATTTTTCATAAATAATTGACAGATTTTCAATAAATAAAAAATGTTGTGTCCATCGGGTAATAATATGATATGATATTTATTTATCAATTTGTCGTACACAAATCAAACATAAACATAATAACTTTTAAACAATAATTGTTATTAACAATTATATAATATAATTATTATCAATAACAATTGATATTTTAAATTTAAAGACTTTTTTTTTGTAATATGAGTACATCCTTTAATAATTATATAATATATAATAATAATTAGGTAAAAAAAGAAAATTTAAACAAAGATAATATGCGAAAGATTTGTACTCTGAAAGTGATATTTTCATATCTAATAATAATAAAATAAAACAATAACAGATTTTTTTATATAAATCAAAGAGGTAATCTTACTAACGTAAGGTACCATTACTTACTTAAAACTATTGTATTAATAGATTGACTAGTAAATAATATTTTCAACTATCTGATTATTTAAGTAAATTTTGATTAAAAATGCTTTAGAAGTGTAACGTACTTCAAAAATCGTACACACTAATAATATCAGAGTAGAAACAAAAATTATACCTATTAAATAGAATACATTAGATGAATTACATTTAAACCACTTTGTTATTGCCTTAAAATTAATTTTCTCGATCCCTTTTTCAATTCTCCTATAAATGTAAAATTATTTTACAACAACGTATTTGTTTTTCGTTTCTTATTAAAGTGTTCAATAATTACTCAATAAAAATATCGTTTTTCTTGTCAACATAAAACCTTATATTTTTTTCATTTATTCTTCAACGCAGTGGGAATATACAGGCCTAGTCCTATCACAGACATCGAAATTTTACATTATATAATATGTAGAACATTTTAAGTATTCCAAGTAATTTTACTCTTTAAAACTCCCCTAAAAAATCTTTAAAATCAGCCACAAATTTAACAAATTACAGATATTTTTTTCTAGACTCAAAAGGAAATTTTCTCTTCTGTGCGTTATGTAGTAAAATTCAATTCTAAATTTGATAATTTTGTAGCAATTTGTTGCTACTATTTATATTTAAATATTTTTTATACCTAAAAAATAGACTGTTTTAAAAATGTGTATAGTGCAAGAAAATCCTGAACCAATAATTATTAAATCAATAAATATTTTAATAAATGTCTTAACCTTGAATTGTACGACCTTTACAAGTATATGATTTTGTTAAGGAATCATAATGAAATGACCTTTCGCGTATTCAGATTATAACTATATTTTTAATCTTTCTATGATAAAAAGTACTTATTTTGATTTATCAGCACACAAACAGCACATATAGTGCATTTTACATTAGATGAAAATAATATAGTGAAAGTATATTATTTGTAAAGAAAATAATTTCTCCCTTAAACCTAACTTGATAATACACAGGGGTGTATTTACATACAAGTACTATAAACATGTTGCCCATAGCGTCAAATTTTGATATGCAACTTTATTTCATAACGACAGACTGATTCATTTATCATGAACCATTCAGTAAATCGAAATATAGAAACAATACTGACAATTTTTGTTTTTTCTTTTAGGTATATATTTTTCTCAATTTATTAATCATTTGTATTTTTTATATCTTATAAAAAAGCGATAAATTTTTTTTTCAAATGACAGTATATATAACTGACTAGCTTATTAATTAGCTAATTATTTAATTATAAAATAAATAATCGAAAAATATAAGATCAGTATTTCAGAAGTTATTAACATTTTATAGTAATGAATGAAGATGAGATGCCGGTGTTGTTAAAAAAATAAAGTTAACATATATTAGGATAAACATGTATTTAAATAAACCGAAAAAATAATTTCGAATTAAATTTTTTGATTAATTATTATTTCATGATTATTAAGTTAACCTATATATATTTTTGTTATTGTTTATATTAATTGCATATTAATTTGGAGATACTTATCGAATTCAGTTTTTATTATTGTAGTTGTAATAATATAACTATATATTTTAATATCTCTACAGTAATTCTTTAACGGTGATCAATATTTAAATGAAAATTATAGTTATTATAACTTCCACTTAAATTCATGGTCATAGTTAAAAAAATCATCATTCAAAATTCAAAGTTTGTTTAAAAATATTAATTATCATAAATCATTTGTTTTAATTTAAATTACAAATTATTTTATAATAATACAAAAATAAAATCGGGACGGAGTGATTGTTTTTAAAGTCCCCTTATGTAGGGAGGCAATTTTTAAAGTACTTATAAGTGGGAAGAGTGAAAATATGCATCTGATAATACAACAAAGAGTACACCTACAAATTTCGTATTATATACACAATATATACAGTACATGTACATACTGCCCTCCTAAGCCAAAAGGAAATCAATAATTGATTATAAAATATTATAATTATTATAATATTTTGGTGTAAATTAGACTCATATAAAAATTAACCCTTTAATTGCAAACCTTCGTTGAATTCGTAATTAATGTTAGCCTTAGAATTTTCAAATTTAAATATTTTTATTTTTCAACTAAAAAAAAAATGAAATAAAAATAATATTTATTATTTTTTTGTTGATATTTAATTACATAGTTTTTTCAATTTACCAATCATGTGGCATTTTTTATATTCATCCTTTGTCACTTATTAGTTTACTAATAATTAGTTTATTTATTAGATAATAACCTAACTTATGAAATACTGATCGATAACAACTTATATACCAATACTTCAAAAATTAAAATTAATTTAATAATTAAAAGTAATGACTGGAAGTGAAGGATGGGTGCTAATATTTTCATTACTTAACATTTCTCCAATTCATTATTCCTTCCCACTAAGATAATAAAAACGTTAATAACTTCTGAAATATTGATCTAATGTTGTTATCGATTAGTTAATTTTCTTATCTAGTAAAAATGCTAGTTAATTATGTATGTTATCATTTGAAAAAATAATATTGACACTCTTTTTAAGGATAAAGGGTGAATATAAAAAATACTGCATGATTGATAAATTGATACAAAAATTTAATTAAAAGAAATCAATTTAATTTTTTGTTTTATTTAAATATAAAATTATGAATAAAAAACGCAGCATCATAGTTACGACATGTGATGAGTGCTACATAGTTGAGACAAGAATAGATAATATCTGACAGTAATTAAAATCATTAACTTACAAATAGCTTCAATGTAAATTTATAGGTAATAATTTGTAAAAGCAATTATTAGACTATTTTAAAAACATCATTAGGTCATATGTATTATATTATCATCAACTTCTATTTCCATAATTATACCTGGAATACAAGTTTTATGATTTTAAAGTATGAATAATTACTTATTTTAATAACTAAATATATTGTGAAATTGATATTTAATTAATAATTTAGTTGTTATATATTTCATTACCTCAATTAATCATAAGCTATTGATAGTAAACACATTTTTTTAAATGATAACAACAAGAAAAACGTTGATTTTTTATAACAAAATAAGATTTTTGGTATAACTTAGGGGGTAGTTTACATATAGAAAACAAATTTTTTTATAACTTATCATTAATAACATATACTTTGAATTATCATATGATTAAAGTCTGAAGTATTTCCCAAACATTTTTAATATTTAATTTGAAAAGATTAACTTTTTGTGGATAAAGGGACAGTTTTTTAACAAAACTATACTAAATAAAAAGGAAATACCTAAGATATTTAATGGAAAAAATTAATTCTTAAAAATTTATAAAAGTTTAATTTTAAAAATATTAAAATTTACAAAATTTTAATTTTTTAGAGAATTTACCACAATTACGAAAGATAAAGAATTTTTTTATTTTTTTATTATTTTTAATTCCTCCAATTAGATACAATTTTTGATGTATCGTTAAAAAAGATTAGTGAAATGAGAGTTAAGCAAAATTGGTGANTAGATACAATTTTTGATGTATCGTTAAAAAAGATTAGTGAAATGAGAGTTAAGCAAAATTGGTGACAAACAAAAAAATAATAACAATACATCATAGTAATATTAATATCTTTTTAGCTTTGCGTCAAAGCTAAAAAATTTTTTGCTAAAACGCGTCTAACAAGTTGTTACACACATAATGTGTATTATCATTTAATTTTATGGTTATCCTTTTATTTTTAACTTTGACCTTTAAATAATTTGCTTATAATTGTTAGATAAATGTAGAGGTTATTGAAAGACAAATAATTAAAATATAATTTCTTTTAAAATAGGGTTAATATTCTTAAAAAACTATTTCTTATTGAAAATTTAAAAAACTAATGTTTATCAAATGTTTATCAAATATTTATCTTATTTTAATAAATATTTTTATTAGTTTAAATTAATATATTAATTTCTATTAATAGTGTATGCAATTTACAAGGATGCATTATATACTTTTAAAAAGATAGCTTTGACAAATTATTTTAATTTAAAACAAAAGTTATTTATTTACGAATAAATATCAAAAAATAAAGACAAATGTCATAAGATAAATAAATTGCCTGACTTTTTCTTATTTATAATTAAGAACTAAAATTTTGATATTATATTAATTAAAAATATACATTTTATATATTTAAAAATTTAAAAGAAATATATTATTTCTCACAGATTAAGAATAAGTGTTAAGCTAAAAGCAAATTTTACAAAAACAACTTTCTGGCAAAATTGTAATATATAATTTATGTTGAAAGTTCAAATTACATTGACAAAATATAAACTAGGCCACATTTTTTTTTTTTGTGATCATTAATCTATGTGTTTATATTTGTGTATGTATACAAATTTTTAATTAATTAATTAAAAATTTAAATTAAGGAAATACTTTATAATATTTTTTCATAACTGGGTTAAGTCTATAAAAATAATAGTATTTTAAAAATATCATATTACGTACCTTATAATTGTATCCAAAATATGTCAATCGAATTTAGAAAAAATAAAAACAATAATACACTCAAACACCAATAAGTGTTTTGACCGGCACTAAATTTCAGATAATAAATAAATATAAAATGAAAGTATATCTCAGTATACACTGTTGGATTAAATACTGCCAAATACTAATAAAATATGATTGACTCCCCACAAAGCGATCACCTCAAAGTGTTATTATCTTAAAACATGATTGCAAACAAATTTGATCATTCAATTCTCAATAATACTATAGCATATGTACAATACGTATAAACTGGTGGAAATGCATGTAACTTTTTCTAATAACATAAGGTTTATGGGCTTAATTTAGTTGATAAAAGAGTGTAAGGTCATTGTTTTGTTTTATAATTATAACTTATCTGTATAATTAAGTGTTAATATCGATTATGTTTCATAAGTAAAATATTTCATAGATTTTAAAATGTATTAATCAAAAACCTTCTTATCAAAATTGTCAAAACTCCTGCGCTATAAGGAAATTCAATACTGGCCTTTACTATAAAATGTTAATAAATTATGAAATAGCAAGTGCAACCCTAAGAGAGAGGACAATGGAGGCGACTTCATCCCCATACAATTTTTTTAATAAGATTAATTATAACGTGTGTTTCTATTACTCTTATACCTGAAAAAAAGAAATTTATAATATATTTGTTTAGCTTTGATGAGAAGCTGAAAAGGTATTTTATATACATGTATGCAAAGTGATTGATTAACTATTCCCCACACGCAAAATCTTTAGAAATATAAAACGTATTTTAATTTTTTCTTTTTAGAAGTTAATAGTATCCTATAATTCTAATTTAAAAAAAAGTGGATATCTCCCCCCTTATCCCTTGTGTAAGAACATTTATTACTATATTCTTACCACTTATATTACACACGTTTTATTTATATTTATTTAATTCGTAATACATATTAATTAGCATAGAGGGAGATGCTGATGTGACAATTCTACTCGTCTGTAGCCCGGAGCTACTGACGTCGAACTAACAAAGGGCAGTTGTGTTTGAGTGGCCGTTATAGACATAGTTTTCAATATTATTACTTTCGTCTTATTTATATTATTTATAACTTAACTTGTTTTATTCAACGACCCGTCTATCGCCAATTGTCATCATAGCCAACCAACTCCGTCTCACTTGGATATACCTACTAACCAACTGTACTAGGATTCAGGTCAGACGTATTGTACATTACATATAACTTATATTTACTGAACATCTAAAATATAACTTTACTTTGTCGTTGACATAAAACAATAGTCTAATTTTATTTAATAATCTATCCCCTGTACACGATTGCCTGTGTCTCCTTCAGGCATTTAATACTCATTTAAGGAGATAGGGACGATATTTGGGCAGACGTCGGGTAGCTTCCGATTCTTGGTTTTGACCGAGATCCTCAACTATTAAACAAGCCCCTAACACTTGAAAGTATTAACTTAAGGTTTTTAAAAGTAAACATATATGTTTAATTATCATTAAATATAAGAAAATTATCGAACTACGAAAAGACTGGTCGATAAGAACTTTTGAACCAGTATTTTAAAGATATTATAATTTTTATAGTAGAGTGGGGGAGTAGTATGGTTTATATATATATAAACATGAATGTATATGCACGAAAATAAAAATAAACAGATCCACTTTACTAGTTATTATTCTTATTTTGAATGCAAATTGTCTTTAATCTGCGTTTTTTTTGGGAATTTTTTGCATGTATAAATTAATATGGAGGGACGGTGTGGCCGAGTCGGTAACACGATTGTGCTTGACGCGCTTCTGATTCGAAACTCAGTCACTCTCAGACGCCATTCCTCTCTCCGGCGAACCACTCGTCCTGGAGTATGAATGGTTAAGAAACCTCCCTCGGAGGAGGAGGCAGCTACAGCCCTTAATGGGCTTATAAGGCGTTAAAAAAAAATTAATTAATTAATATAGTTTAATATTGTCGTCAATGTCTTGGAAGGCTATGACATTAGTTTAATGTTTCTCCTCTAAAAAATTCCCTTTACTATGTTACTTTTTTGCTCAAAGTAATACCAGGCGAAAACTTTAGTGGGAGAACTACAAATTTCGTGTTTGGTTAGAACTGGGCGATGGTGTTATGAAATAATAACTCCGTAACTCATATTCAAAAACTGATATGTCACCTAAATAGGTTTTTGAGAATTTTATAATTCATACAAAATATAGTAATATCTGNTAGATTTTTGTAATTCATACAAAATATAGTAATATCTGTTATGTAACAAAAAATTAATAATAATTTTTATCGAAAAGTTTTGTTATTTTTTCATCAAATCTATTGATTTCTATAAAACAACATTGAAAATGTTAATTTGTTTTTTGCCCTCCTGATGAAAAATTGCTTAAAATGACAGATCAGTTTTTGGTTAATAGCCACGGGATTTAAAATACCTGTCCTTAAAATGTGTGCAAAATAGCTATTTTTTTTTATCAGTCAGAACATTTATATTCTTACTTTATAGTTAACCCTCGTAGCTATTAAGTTGTTCACATGAAATACTTAATTAAGATAGATAAAATGATTTAAAAGTTTTGTGTTTGTATTAATTAGATATAATAATTTTGAAATTATGATAATTTAAGTATGAGCGTATAATTTTATTTTATCAGAATACTTATATAGTTATGATTTTAAACAAAAGATTTGCGAAGTAGTCATTAACATTAATGCTATACATGAACAAAGCTTTCGTAGAATCATTATTTTCTTAATGAACAAAAATATATAAAGGAATTACTATTTGACCATTTGACATTTTTATAGCATGCCAATATTTGTTACTCGTGTAATGCTTTCAATAAATCTTAATTTGCATTTTTCGATCTTTTATATATTTATATAGGGTGTTCAGTAAGTAAGAAAACGTGTTTCTATTGTTCTCATTGTTTGTAACAATTGTCATGTTTCCTGACTTAATGAATACTTTGTATAACTTCTTTAGGCCAATCTTGGTTACTACATTGTTTATAAATTCTAAGAACGTTTTTCCGTCATTTATTCAACTATTTAATTATTAACATAATAGAAATCACAATATACTGGAAAATTCGATAATTTTCAATAGCTAATAAGTATAAACATCAAACAAATGGATACGGGTTCGTTTTATAATATAATGACATCGTAGTTGCGACAATTTTAACATGTCCTTATGCTAACAACAACAAAGGTAGTGACGAATATTGTAAAATACTATATGAGTATGTTTTTTTTTGTGAATATTAGAAGATATAGAAGCCAACCCCGATCGATGGATGTCACAGTAACTTAAACTGTTTCAGTTATTGTCACGTAACGGTCAGTCGTAATACGACCTCGATAATGTCCGATCCGTATTTAATCATTAATTTCATATTTAAGTTAACTATTGTGTTTTTTCATAAATACATAAATCAACACAAACTTCTCAAAGCTTATTGTTGATCTTATTATGATTATTTTTAAATATGGCATATACCACTGACACAGCGAAAAAAATCAACTATACATATAATAGTGTTGGTAAGTATTTATTTTACTATTAATGAATATCGTTAAAAAAGTACAATCTAAATTAAAATCAATCTGCTTTCTAAATAAGCTTGATAGTTACTGTACATAATACTGTGGTAATTGTAGACTTAGATTACACAAAGAATTACCGCTATTAATAAAAATAATAATTTTTAATGAAAATAAAATATTTGCTTCAAAAGTACATATTTATATAAGATACAAATTAATACTACTAAAACAAATTAAAAATTTTATAAAAGTCTTAACAATATCGGTTTTAGAATTTGTTAAAAGTTTATATATTTTAGAGTGTCAAATGGAATATAAACTGATGAATTTCGCTTGAGAGTAGTGATTCATTTGTATTAGAGTGAATTTTATAAAAAAAAAATGGATATCAATTTTTCATTAGAATACGAATTTAAACTGCAACCATAAATGTTTAGAATATGAGAATCGACGAAATTCCTTTGAAATTCTTATATAAGTGAATATTATTTTACCCTTAACACAATAAATAAACATCCCTAATATATTTCAATAAAACAATTATTAAAAAAAAAAAAGTGCTCTTGTATCACTAAAGTACTGGGAAATTTAAGTAGATATATTTTTTTTCAGGAGGAGATTAAAAAAATCATGTCATTCTTTTTACAATTTTGTTTTTTTTTCTAATTTTTTTATCACGTTTATTTAGTGAACCTTTCTTTTTAGTCATAAGTCAATGAAAAAAATTGTTTTATTAAAAATATTTATCATTTGGGTAAAAATTCTAGATGTACTTACAAAGTTTATCTTTACCATAAATAATACTGATTACAATTCTTATAATAAAATAATTATTAGGGAACCAGTTATGAATTCGATAAACTGTGTACGAAAATAAGTTTATTTTATTAAAACACACTACGCATAAGAATATAAACTAACAATATATAATTTTATTGCTATTGTTTAATAAATATTATTTTATTCAGTTTTAATAAAGAAGTAGAACATTGGATTTTATAAGGTAGGGTCTAATAACAATAAAAAATGTTATTGTTATAATTATTGGTTAATATTTCATTCACGACATCAGTTTTACAATATTTTAAATACAAATATTATATCAAATAAAGTCTAAAATATATATCGGATCAAATTTTGAAGTACTAATGGAACCTAAAAGATGTTTTTTCTTTAGTGAAATTTTACATACTTTATTTTTATAAAAAATCTAAATATAGACCCGTCGTGAATCAAAATTTAAAAAAAATCATTTTTTTCTATTTTTGCTTCATTTTAGAGCTCAATTTAAAATCACAATTTATAATAATCGTATATTAACCAACTTCATATAGTGTACGTGCCTTTACCACATTTTGAACATTCATAACAAAAATTGTATTATGTACTTATTATATATCTATCTCTATCATTATTTGTACTGTATTATTTTCGAATAAATGACTTTCGAACACTTAATACCTCACCAAATAATTGTGAAGATCTGCGTTAAGGGGTATTCTAGTCTAGAGGCATGAATTTCAGGTAATTTTTGTCATAAAAAAAAGGCAATTAATATTTTTACCGTCCATTTTTTTATAAGTAATTTATTAACATTACAAAAATACAGAAAAAATAAAAAAAGGGTAAAAATTTAAAAAATTATCTGTTGATGAAGTGAGGTCTTAAAAAATTGGCACGCGACCATACCCACGATTTCAACCCTCCTAGCAATCTGAAACCAAAAAAAAAAAGATTATTAATCTAGAATAATGTCGTAATGTCTGGAACTACGAAAAAGTTGGAAAAAAAATTTTTCACGAAATGGTGACTGTCTGAAAAAAAAACTATTTTTGTGCCACTTTTTTTGACGGTTTCGAATTTTTTAAAAATAGTAAAAATTGAAATTTGGTGATGGAGATAGTTCCAGACATAGGCAAGTCTATAAAGAAGACTCTTTAAAAATTTCAGGTAAATCGGTCCAGTAGAATCTGAGAAATCGTGGATATCGATTTGAAAAAGACAGTTTCGAGAAAAACGCGTTTAAAGTTTTTCGTAGTCTAAATTATGAAATTATATTTTAGGCTTACATTTTTTCAATCTGGCAAAATGACATATTCTTGAATAGTCAAACTTTGAAAATATATAAAAAGAAAAAATCGATTTTTTTAAATTTCTAGACTTAGAATACCCCCTTAAAGAGGACTCGATTATTCCTTGATAAAATAGGATTATTTGTCAACTGTATTATTCAGTACTACACAGAAACAGAGAGTATATCAACGTACACTGCATTATTAACCGCTAAATTCGTGAATAATAGACATAATAATTAATACTTTTTATTAATAATTTTACGACAATGATGATTACGAGATGTGTACAATGCATTTCCATAACCCTATGAGTTTTGATCATGTAAATTATCTTTGTTGTTTAACAGTATGTGTTAGGTGAAAAAGTAAGGTCATTGAGTTCCCCCTCTTTGGTAGAGTTTGATGGCATAGGACAACCATCGCTGTGTACGAGCGGTTACTCATATGAAACGCATGTGACTGTATCTACCAACATTCTCTTGTTCTGAAAACCAGTTTCTGGTGCTACCACCTCTTTGGTAACCATGAATCCATAATAAGCTCCAGCAGTATCCTCAGAGGTGACCATATATTGTTATGTTTTGTTGGTGGCAGATAATCGATAACGACGGACTGTGTTTTTACTATTAAACAATAAAAATAAACGACAGCAAAAGTGGTCCATTAGACGATATTTTTGTCTTATGCTCAATGGTCCAATAATTTATTTATGTATGTTTTTGAATATTATAAGACTTTATTTAAACTTAGAATAAGAAAATTATTTTCTTACTATTGTGCTTCTTTTATAGAAGACATGGAAGGAAATAGAGCAGAATCTACGTTTACTATTGTATCTAAAAGTACTAATACTACAAAAGTTAACAAGATAACAGAATGTCTGAAAAACAACATGTTTCTTGGGTTTATCTTGGCATCTGTTGCATTTGGAATAATTCTAGGTAAGCATGGTGGCTTTTTACAATAATTAAAATATTTATTTGCAACAAAAATATTAGTTTCTCTTGCCTTACTTTATATTAAAAGAGCTAAAATAACAATACATATTTTTTTATATTTCTTGAAACTTATAAGATTTCTTCAATACTTCATTTTAATTTCTTAAAATTAAAATAATTCAACAACGAGATTTTTTTTTTTAAAGGGACACCATAAAATAAATATCTCTTATGAAAGGTCTAGAAATTCTACCAGTAATAACTACACTTCATTCCAAATAGGAAATTTAACCATATAATTATAAGTATCAACATTTTAAAATAAATTATTTGGTGGGTGTATAATTAATTTAAAACAATAATGAATGATAATGATATCCATAAAATAGAAAATGCCAGGGAACCCTTTAGTTTCTCAGAAAAATTTTAAAACACTAAATCAGAATAAATTTTAACATTTGATCGACGTTTTTGACAGAGCTCGATAATAAATTCATGTTTACTTTTTGTATACATTTTTTCGTAATAAAATTTAACTATCGATATTTTTATTGTGTTACTCTGAAAAATTTTAATTAAAAAAAAATAAATAGATAAATTAAAAGAATGATATTGTTTTATAAAACAAAACGACTCTTTTATTTTTTTTAACGAATTATTTAAAAAAACCAGTTTTGTACATGTTAATTTTTATAGTCAGTTGTAATTTATTGTGACATGATTACTGAAATTGTTCATTATTTCCTTATGACGTTAGACTTATTATTGGGATAAATTTGCTATTAAATAACACTACGTACTGTAAATAACTTTATTTAAAATCTGCAATGGGTTTTTTGAGCTCAAATAGATTATATATAGAGTATGAAAAATGTTTATAAAATAATTAATTTATAAAATTAAAATGCTATTATGACTAAGATTATACAGTCGATTTTTATAACCTATAACATTTTATAGTTGATAGTTGACTAGTTTGATAACAACGAATAAATCATTTAGTAACAATTGATTTTATTTACCTTATTTATTTTTTCTATTGACTAATTATTCAAGTTATTATTGTCAATAAAAATAAAAAAGTGTAATAATTATCCACATTATTGTTTCAATATACCATGTAAAATAAATTTTAAATGTAACAAAAATACTACTTTTTTATCTGTTTTTTTATGATAAATTTAAATTTAAATTTAAAAACATAATTGATTTAAAAGCTTAAAAATATCTCACTTATATTGGGATATTTAAAATTTAAATTACATTAAAATAGAAATAAATGTTTATGAAACAATATTTCATTTAGACTGTATCTAATGATACTAACTATTCAATTGTGTGGGTGGTAACAACAATAATGCATAATGATACAGATGAACTTTAACGTCTTACAAGGAACAAAGAATATGTTCTGAGTGTTGACCTCAACGATTCTCAAGGACATGATCTCATCATTCAAGCAAAAACAAAGTAATTGATTATTACTCGTTTACTTGTTAATTATTGATACGGTTCTATTATTCATAGTTCGTTTTTTTATGTCATGACAATTATCTTCTATAAAAATATTTTTATTTATCATATTGATAGGAGTTTAAATATTCTTTGAATACTATATCAGCTATTTTCTTCATTAGAATTTGATTCTAATTAACAAATAACTCAATAAAAAATATATTCGTTTAAAAATATTTACATAAGGAATGGACTGAAAATTAAATTTAACAATAGGTAAATAAAGGATTAAATTTAATAAAAGAAAAATAAAAAATAATTATAATAACTATTTTATTTTCACGACAGATTGAGTTATTCGTGGAGCAAGTATCATGGAGAATTTATTATTACTATATTTAAGTTTAATTTTCAAAGACAAAATAATCCATGTCGATTAAATTAAATGAATGATATTTGAATCATCGATGAAATATATCATTTATTGTGTCAAGAATGATTTTCATTGTACAATAGAACTCAAATAATAGTTAATCGGGTTCCTATCTTTATAGCTTTATAGTTTTAGCTTCGATGCGAAGGTGAGAAGTTATTAATTTTACTAAGATGTGTTTTTTTTTTTATTTTTATTTTTATTTTTTTTTGCGTCTGTTACCACTTTTTCTCAGCTCTCACCGAACCGATTTCTTTCAATGATACGCCAAAAGATAACGAATCGTATCTAGTCGAAGATATTGCCCTCAAAAATTGAAAAAATTTCTCTGGTGCCCTGTAAATGGGGAAATCTCCAAAAAAAATTACTAATTTAAAAATCAATAATTTTTTCAATTTTTTTCATTTTTTTTTTTTACTTAAAACTGCCATAACTTTCTAAAATAAACAAATCAATATAATTTTATTTTTTATAGATGCTTGATGTCTTTAACAATCATTTAGTATATTTTTTTTATAAATCTGATCCTTTACCTGCCAACAGAGAATTCAAAATGACAACTTTTTCACAAAAAATAACTTTTGAAATTGTTCCGGAAAGTCTCACACTCTTATATATATCTTAAATTAAAACTTATATAATATACTTTAATATGGAGAAAAAGAAATTTCGGACTTTATTTTGTCTTCACGTTGAAAATGATTACCGTATGCTAAATTGGTGTGAAAATTCTCGATTTTATTTTTTACATTTTTAACTTTATAATGCTATAACTAATTGAAAAGTGTATTGACCAACACAGTTTTTTTATGAGAAATAATATTTATATCCCTTTTTCATTCAACATACTTTATCTTAATCAGGATATTAACAAGGAAATAGCAGATCATGTAGCTTTTGGAATAAACCACCAATTTTTAAAATTAAACACTATCTAAAGATTTACATCGAAGCGAATTTTATGATAATGATTATAATCACTGTCAGATATCATTATACTTGTCCCAACTATGCCATGTCACCATTGTGCCTCGACCTCCTTGGCTGGTTTTTTTTTTGTAGAACTAAAAAAAAATAATCTAAAAGACACTTTAAAAACAAAAAACTATTTAAACATTTCTATAATATTGAATCAAATTAAAATGGCTTTGATAATACTTGAATCGTATTACTACTTTTCAATTTTGAATACGATAATTTATATTTTTTATCTGGTGAAAATTATGACTTATTTGCATTAATTCTGTGATCATTTTCCAAAAGCTCATAAGAATTAAAATTTAATATATCAATTATATAAAGTTATATAATTATATAGTTATATAATTTTTTTTTTTTTAAGCAAACAAAAATTTAAAATTTCAATGATGTTTTATTCAAATCAAAATGTAGTACAAAAAACCTACCTTCCCGTTAAAATAAAACCAAAACTTTTTAGGATACGAATCACAACATCTGTGTAATATCACATATATAATAAATATAATATTAAGCATTATGCTACGCTCTCTGTATATTACACAGAGAGTTATTGTTTAACTATTGCTCACACAATATCTTTAAAAACATAAAATATTATTTTTTTCTTTTCAGAAAGTATAATAGTATTCTAATTATATAATTGAAAAAATAATAAATTGTGTTCTATTCTCCCTTGAAATGTTATGAAATAATCATTAGTATAGTTTTCATAAAGGCTGAATCTAACTAAATAAAAAAAATTATTTTGGGAGAAAGGGAGAAAAACAATATGATATAGAAGCTTCCTGTTGGATTTTTGTCCAAATTTATGAAGTAGAATATAAAATTATAATTCCCATAGACGAATTTTTTTAGCTACATTCATGAACTAAATTTTGTAATTAAAAATACTTGTATTTATCCACTTTACAAACAATATTTTTTTGTTTCATTTTCTTAAATAGATCATTGACACCTATACTAAGTGTTCAGAAGGTAAAAAAATAGGTCAATTGTTACAAACAATGAGAACAACAGAAATCCGATCCCTTATTTACTGAACACTCTATATAAGAAAATGAATGGTCAGTAATAACTTTTAAACCAGTATTTTGGAAGTTATTAAAAATTTGATATAAAAACTGGAGGTTAATCGTGAGTTGATTTCAAAAGCATTTTTTAGAAAACAGGGGGTCTTCAATAATATGATGATTATTTTCAAAAAAAAAAGTGATTAATGAAAAATATTAATTGTAAATATGACCATATGAAAATTAACGTCACAAAAAAAAAAAATAATATGATATCGCTAGTTTATTTATTTTTATCTCTAAGTATTTATTACCTTGTTCCTCATGTTTTAGTATAAAAACTAACATTTTTAGTTGAAATAATTTATAATTAAATTTTTTTTTTAATTATGTTAATTAAAACAAAAATTCAATTTCAATTTAAATTTGAGAATTAATTTTCTGTGAATAATTTAAATATTAATAGTACAAATTTTGTTTTAAAATTTCAGGGCTTGTTCTAAGACCATTAAAACTCAGCAGTGATGCTATTACATTGATTTCATACCCTGGAGATTTATTTTTGAGAACACTCAAGCTGATGGTGCTGCCATTTATTATATCATGTTTAATCATTGGTAAATACATTCGTTATACTATTTTTAAAAATGTTTTTAACGAACTAACACAATTATGTATAAATTAATCGTTTGTTTATTATCATTATTTATTGAAGTTTATTTTTAACTAACATTAAGGCACAAACTGTTTTAGGAGCAAAAATCTAATTGTTTAGAATTATTTTTTTATAATTCGTATATAAAATACTTACTTTTTAGACGTTTTATTTTATATTATAAAGTTTTAACCAATTAATTCACCATAACGAGACCTGTTTCTAATCATTTTCTTACATAAATATCGTAGCTTATCGTAACTATAATATAGATTACAATTTTCATAAAAATTTCAATTTTGATCATATAATTATATGATTACTTTAAATTAAAACTCGTATTCGTAAAAAATTGTCAAAAAATAGCTATTAAAAGTATTATACAATAATTAAAAACTTAGAAATAATGTGTTTATTAATATTTTAAGTGTGAGTTATATTTAAAACTATGACTATCTCAACTATCCAATATGAACCAAAGTTCAATAGTCGACGGTCGAGGGTTACTTAATCATTGGAATTTGGAATCAATTTTTGTATGAATAAAAAGGTTAAAATTGTTATAACAACTGCAAATATATTTCTTACAATTATCTGTCAATATATTCATCTCTAAGTTTTATTTCATATTATTGTTTTCTTTTTTATTACTTTGAAAATAATTTTTATACATATAGGTAATAAGAAAAATAATTCCATTCAAAAATATTAATTGTTGAATGCTTTCAAATAATTAATAATTGTCTTATTCATTAAGTATATCTTAATGAACCCTTATTAAATTTAGAAATCAACCTTTGAGCAATATATTTTGAATAACATAATTAACTATATCTATTACAAATAATTTTAGTGCGAAGAAGTATTTTTTCTATCGCTTAATGAAAAAGTGATTAGTTAAAATTAACGCAGCAATTGATATAATGATATCATCACTATAGGATTCAATCCATAAAATTACAAAATCCATGTATTTCGTGAAAGTTCAAATATATTTGACTTGACGATATTTAAATAAACAAATGTGTTATTTAAATGTTCTATTATTTTAGGAGCTGCAAACTTAGACATCAGTAAAAATGGTAAAGTAGCAGTTCGAACTATAGTTTATTTTGTACTTACGTCGGTGTTTAATGTTTGTTTGGGCTTGACATTGGGTTTACTTGTGCGTCCAGGAAATCCAGACTTAAGGGCAACAACAAATGCTACGTCATTTTCCGGGCCAAAAAAAATGCACATCATGGACGGATTTCTCGACATGGGCAGGTAAATACAATGCATGGCAAACCGATTTAATTGTGTACCGTTTCAATGAATATAAATAATAATTGAAAATCAGTTAAATATTTGTTTCCAAAACTATAATCGATCCACAAATATTTAAAACTTACTTTATATTTATTTTATAGGAATTTATTGCCAGATAATTTATTTCAAGCTGCATTTCAACAGGTAAATATTAAGATTTTTATTTAGTTAGTTAATGTTTCTAACATTTAATTGTAATGGTAAACTTTTTCAAAAATCTTATAGTTCAATATTTATTTTAAGTAAATTTAAATCTAATTATTTCACCAATTAATCAATGTTAATTAAATAAGGAAAATAGTTTCCTGGGGGATATTAATATGTACGTAATAATCATGTTAAATAATTAATTGATTGTATTTATTATACGATTTTTTTAAAAATTCCAACCTTAGACTCGTTTTTTCAACTTTCAATTTATTATTTTTTTGAAACTTTAAATCTTTAAAATTATTTTATATTTTTTTAACTTCTATGCTTACGACCTTTTAAACTTCCTACTAAGTCTTGTTTACTTGAAGTTAGTCCAAACGATTATTTCATTTTTTCAATATTACTAGTATATTGTATTTTTAACATCACATTACTTTCTTAATATTTTTAATATAATATCTTTTTGCTCATCTTATTTAACTTTGATAGGAGTAAATGATTTTTGATAATAAAATAAAATTTCAACATATAAATCAGTTATTTTCAATACAAATTTATAATAATTATTAATTAACTAAATTTGTTAAATATTTTTCGAAAAATTCACTGTCACTTTAATCCAGTTAATAACAAAGATTGATTCAACAATAGAACTTTTTATGTTATTAGATTTCATAGTAAGTTTTTTGTAATGTCGATATTAGTATAGATTATCTAATATATTAATTAGTATTAATATACTTTTATTATTTTATAAATTCAATTAAAACTCAATAAATATAAATCGTTCTCAACCACTTACCACATAAATTATAAAGTATTGCTAATATTTACCAATGAATTTTTAATTTGAATTATTTTTAGACATTAACTGAATATGACACAATAATAAATTCAGATGGTATAAAAACTTTTAAAAAAGTTGTAAGATACAAGTTAGTAACAGTAATTATTATTATATTACACCATTAATAGATAATATTTAAATGAAATCATGCTGAAATAATTTTTATAGAGATGGAACAAATACATTGGGTATCATATTTTTTTGTCTGATTTTTGGAACAATATTGGGAACTTTAGGAGAACGTAAGCGCCCTGTACTTAATTTTTTTACAGTTACATACGAAGTAATGCAAAAGATACTCACTGGCGTAATACGGTAACTATATTTTCAAATATATATTATTTAAACTAACATTTTTAAGACATCTCTTCTTCACCATATCAAGACTAAACTTGAAATATATATGGACAATACTAAAATTAACATCAAAAGCATAATCTAAAATAAAATATCCAAAAAAATCTAAAATGGAAAATTTGTATTCAAAGCTTTGAATAATATACTTGATTATTTTTATAAAACAATTTCCTAATATTAAAAATAATTCTTATAATTCCTTATAAACGAAGTATATGCAATAGAAAATGTATAAATACTTTTAATATACATACATATTAAATAATATTTATCTTAAATTAGTAATCTGTAAATATAAACAACTCTTATAAAAACCTAGTTTATGTATATTAAATGGATTTTTCTCTTTTAGTAGATGGTTCTAAAATCATAATAACATTAATGATCATTTTATTTTGATATATCTATTGACTATTTATCTGCTAAATATTTTGTTATACTTTTTTTAATATTAGTTATTAGCTTCAGTGCGAAGCTTAGATATAATAATTTTTATTCTATACCACTCTAAAAACATATTTTTTATTATTTTTATTTTTTAATATTAAAAATTATTTTTTAATTTTTTCTATAAGTATGCTTATACCATAATTTATAAATATGCTTTGAACATAGTCTAAAAAAACAGTAATATTTAAAAAAAAATTCATCAAAATGATTATTGGATCAAAAATTATCAGAATCTTGTAGGACACTTTTATATCCCATTACCATATAAAGTGTTATGAATTACAACAAACTTTATTATACAGTAATAAAAAGTGAATCAAGTCTATTATTTATGCATTTATTAAGTTAACAGTGTCTCTTCTTAAGTTTTTGATCACCGTGTACAAAAATTGTACTTGGGCTACCAATAAAAAGAATTATTATTTATCGGGATTTAATATTGCCGACCTTGCAATTAAAAAATAATAAAAAGTTTCACAAATTAAAAAATATTAAATATTATTATTTTTTATAAAATTGATACGGAAATTGTATCATCCTGTACCACAAAGATCGTATATACCAGAGGTTCTCAAAGTCAAATGAATCACGGAACCCCATCTAAAGACCTACAGTTTTAAAGACCTAACCCTGATATGTGTTCGCGGACCCCTGAGGGTCCGCGGACCACACTTTGAGAAACTCTGGTATATACCATTAAAAGTACATAAAATATGTTTAATTTTAGACGTAATAATAATTTAACTATAATTAATAAAATGTCTCTTTAGATTTACACCAATCGGAGTGGCAAGCGTCATATGTGGTAAAATAATCACCTTGGCTGACCTTTACGGAACACTCATTCAACTCAGCCTCTTTATTATGACTACTGTTGGCGGATTTCTTTTCTATCAACTCATAGTCTTGCAACTTATATACTTTTTTATTATAAAAAAATCTCCATGGTCGTATTATATTTCATTAGGACCTGCACTAGCTACTGCCTTTGCCACAGCCTCCAAGTATGTTATTATATAAAGTAACTTAAAAAAAATTTTCAAGTTTATCAGACATTGAAATTAATATTTTAAAAAAAAGGGAGACTCAAATAAGTAATTGCCTTGGTAGCAATATTTAAAAAGTGGCAATTTTATTATAGAAAACTTTTTTGTATTCATTAATTCATAATAAGCAAATAAAGTCTTCATGGTAACAAAATTATATTTTGTTTTCGATGAAATTTTAATAAATATGGACTTTGTACAATTAAAGTCAAGAATATCAATACTTTTTTCACGTTGAGTACCAATAAATATTTCACTCTATTTTATTGACCTTTGTTGTATTAATAATATCGCGTTTGATTAATCTTTTCTAATAAAAAATATTACTTAAATAAGAAGACATTTAGCTCAAGTAAACAATAACTAGTATTAACTACCCTACATAAAGGCACGTTAATATCTTCTGCAGTATACAGAATGTTCAATAAGTAAGGAAACAGGTCAATTGTTACAAACAATAGACCGCGTTTCCTTATTTACCGAACACCCTGTATATTGATCAAGATAAGTTAAATAATTTTTATTTCACAATTCTTATTAAACCATTAGATAAAGATATCTAAATTAATACAATAGTACGGAAAAAAATTACTATTACTATTTTTTTTTTTTAATATTTTTAAAAATTATTAATATTAATAGTTAAATATATATTTAAGTATGCATAGATATTGTATTACACAACTTGTGGACATTGTTCAACGTGGATAAATTTAAGCTTGTCATATTTTTTAGGTCGGCCTCACTACCGATAACCTTCAAAGTCTTAGACGAAAAGTTAAAGATGAATCCGAAAATAACAAAATTTGTATTGCCAATTGGTACTATCAACATGGATGGATCAGCACTTTACTTAAGTGTAGCACTCTTATTTTTGGCGCAAATTAATAATATCACATTAGGCATTGGAGAAATATTCACTATTGGGTAAGCTCATAATTACAATTTCAATAGAAACACATGTACATAAATTTTAGTATATAACTGTTTTACTCTAAATAATTTAGAATAATATTTATAATTATTATAAGAATTGGTATACTATAACGTGGGTGTTTCAAACCTTTTGTGATGCTAAAATAACTCACTAAATAATTTTCAACTTAACTTTAATGCTACCTTCGTATAACTATATTGATTAAATTTAAATTTAGAGAATTGATATAAATTAATTTACAATGTCCCATAGAAAATTGTTTAAAAATTGAACTAAGAAAATTTGTTCGTAGAATATTATATTATCGTATAACTTATGTATACATTAAAACGAATATATTACTAATTCAGCTCAAATCGTTTTATTTTCATTGTTCTTAAAAAGAATGTAGTTTTTTATCTCAAATAAATTACAATGAAATCTCTATTACTATATATTTAGTACATTTTGTAAATTTTTAGAGTAAACATAACACAAAATAATATTTTTTATTTTCATTTATAGAATTAACTATTTTTTAATATCCCACAATACCTTGATTAATCTCTGTACTAGTTAACTAAACTTTAACTATAATCAAAGATAAATTGAAATTAAATTAATTCTGACGGGGTGTGGATAAGAGGGTTCATTTAAAACAGACCTGAACTTAACTTTCAAATAGTCAGGATCTGTTAGAATACTTGCGTTAGTGAATACAATAAAATATAGACTATACATTTCTCAGCGTATAATAGTTGGAGCAAGCTAAGCAATAATTATTTCATAAACCTTTAAGTGACTTACCTAAGGTTTCGTGTGTACTCAGGATTTTATTATAAGAAGGTAAATTGAAGTTAAATAAATTTGAACTCTGAATAAATTTTAGCCTTCACTTCCAGGCCTTAGTAATTGAGATGAATATGAAAGAAGATGTTTTTCTTGTTAAACGAATTACCAACTATGATTTTTGTGATAGTTTATTTGGAAACATTTTAAATAGACTATTTTTGTGGGAGATCTCGATTATCAAAAGAGACCATCTGTGATTTTTTACTAATAATATAAAAAGTGTCATAGTACAATGAAATACAGTTATCCATGATAATAGTATTAGTTATCCACGTGCTAGAATGACTTATCTACATAGTTTTAAGTACATTATAGTGACTAAATTATAAAGGTTTAACATTTTTTTAATAATTTAGATGTACAATATTGGTTACATTTTATTTAGAACAATTAAAATATAAGAGTTTATGTATATTCCTCGTCAAGTTCTTTGTATAGTTTAGTCATCTTTACAAAAGCATTAATTAATATTAGGTTATTCCAATTTGCTTTCAGTTTCTTTTATATCTGATAAGGTGAGTTTGAGCGTTTCTGACATAATTTTTCGTAACACTGAATTTTTTTCTGAAAATGGTTTTTTGTAATTTTTTATAATAAAAACTGATGCAGGGACCCAGTTAGATATTTATCCAATGTAATTTATACATTTGTTTCATTTAGTTCTGTAGAATTAGTTTCTTTAGATATTTATCACCCTGCACACCTGTTATTTTTAAATATTATAATTTATCTTATGTTTTGTATTAATAACTATACATTTAAATTTAAAATAGCAGATTAATATAGTTTTTTAATTTATGGCTAGTCAAAACATTACAAATAAAATTTTATTATTGTTGAAACAAATGAATTTTGCTGTAAATCTGGCCTCAAATCTGTTAATCAAGTAAATGATTTAGGTTTTATCCTGATGGCTGATTTGCCCTTTAACGGATATTTAAACACAATAAACTAAAAAAGTACTTGTATTTTAAGATTTATAAAACTTACCTGTCTTGATTTTAATGATTCCCTTTTATTAAAAGTACTATAATGTTCATTTATAAGATCAAGACTTGAATTTGGCACGATATTATGGAATCCTCAATCAAATGTATTTAATTAATAAATTGGAGAAGGTCAAAAATAATATTCTATAATTGTATGCCTTTAAAACTAAGTTTTTTAAATGTAATACATATGAAATTGAAAATTTATTATAATTTAAAATCAGACTATCAGTTTTTGATGTTACATTTGTTTACAAAGTCATGAATTTAATTATCAACTGCTCTGAAATACTATAAAAAAATTAGTCTTAGAGTACCCTCCTTAATTCCAAATATGATACCCCTTTTACAGTACATCTAATATAAAGTATGTCACACATACTCCGGTCTATCACTTACCAAAAATATATAATAAAATAAATCAATTTGATTTTGTTTTTTTATCTTATACTACTTTAAAAATTTGTTTTTATAATTTAAAATAATTATTGTCATCTTTATTTTAAATAATAAGTACTCTAATATTGTACAATAATTATCCCTTAGGGTTTAAAAAATTTGTTGTTTAAACAATTAATTTATTATTTTTATGATAACATGTCATATAAACATAAAAAATATGATCAACAGCTTAGCTTGTACTGCTGCCAGTATGTCCTCAGCTGCTATTCCGTCAGCGGCCATTGTTCTTGTTGTGATGTTATGCAGTATAATTAATGTATCCACTGATGATGTTTCTCTATTGTTTGCAGTAGATTGGCTTGTGTAATAATTTTACTTACTATACAATTAGAATAGAATATTTCAAAAATATTTATCATTTTAACAGGGACAGATTCAGGACTACAAATAATCTTATAGGAGACTGTTACACCGTAGCAATTGTTCAACATTTATCCAAAGAAGAACTAGAGGTAATACATAGATTCGAAAAAAATAAAAATAATTCTGTAAATATAGGGAGAATATCAAAAAATTATATATTTTTTTTCAAAAACAAAGTACGATTTACAATGTTTAGCACAGAAGTTTGAAAATTGTTTTTGTAGCTCGCACCTCCCCAAAGTATTATTCATTACTCTACCTTTAATATCTAGTTGTGTGTTGAACCATTTACTATAAATAATTTTGTGTACAGAATTCAGAAGTTTTAATTCTCAATTAAAAAAAAGTTTTATAGTTTAGACTTAATAAAATAGTCTAACGTCTTGACAAGGATAAAATTTTACAGAATAGTCTAAATCTAGTATGTTTTGTAATGATCCCAAAACTGTCTTAAAGCTAAAACTATGGTAAGAGAGGGAAAAACTTAATTTTTTTTTGTTAGGATCCTTCATATATTGAAAAATTGCCAAAGAAAAATTTCTTTCGGGATAGCCTTCTCCCTCCGCCGTAATTACATTTATAGCACCGACCACATCATTTATAATTGTTATAAAATTAATGTCACCGAATTTTTTTCACAGAATGATTATGCTGAAGAAAAAGAAGAAATAGACGGTGCTCACATTAATGGCACATTTATTATGCAAGAACATCCTTTACCAAATCCCAATTGTACCAACACGCCAGTATAATTGGTTGGAACTCGCAACTTTTGATAAAACGCCTTAATTGTTCAACAAATTTCTTTGAAACTCTAGTATTATATAGTTGTTATTACTTAAATTTTTTATTTTATAATATTGTATGCAGTACAAATATTATATGAACTGTTAATGTTTTTTGTAATTATAAATCTGTGACATTTACCGATTATTATAAATGAGACAAAAAAAAAAACAATTATTTTTTGTTTTTCCACAAATCAATAACTCACACAAAAAAGGTATTCGTTCAAACTTGAGCTTTTTTTATCAACCTGAAGAGGTCGCTCAAAAGTAATTTTCTTCCCGTTTACTTGGAAAATAGGATTTTCGTTTAAAATCGTTTACTACAAAATTTATTTTGCACTATGTATAAGGTGACATTTTTTACAATAAAATAAATATCTAAAACGTTTAATTCCTCAACCTTTTAAATATTTTAAGCATTGTAGTATTTTACTAATATTAAAAGTTTTAATAAACCGAAAAAAATAGATGAAAACTATTATATTATACATTTTACATATGGGAAGAAAATGTGCTCTTGAGCGAATTACAAATGCCAATAAATAGAAGCTCAAATGGCAATTCTCCCTTTTTTATAAGAGGAACTTTCTTATATCATAGGAGCATTGCTTCTATAACCCTCCTTGTATCCATGCTTCCTAGGTTTTTCTAACAGATTCTTCATAACTTATTCTAAGTACAGTAAACAGAACTCCCTGCTCTATGGAACATAAGTTATGTTTCATTTTACTGTACAATTATAGTCATGTTATTAACATTTAGATATACAAGTAACTACATAAAGATTAACATCAAATATCTTGATTTTAGGACTCAACAGTCAACTAAATAAACCTAAATGTTTTCAAGGAATTTCAGGTTTTTTTTAAATAAAAACAATATTAACTTTAAAATATATTGAAGTTTTTATTCTTCTTGAACAACTGTCGTCTTTTCTGATACATATAAACCATCCAAGAATTTACGGATATCTTTATTTTTTACAGTTGTTGATTGTTGAATAAGTGCAGCTGAAAAAAAAACACCATGATCTACATTATTTCACTAATATATTAATCCTTTTTTGGTAATAATAATTTTGATTAGACTGAATAAATCTATTTTACCAGACACATTTTTTTATGCTTATTTTAATGTTCTGAAAAAAATGTTGACAACAAGTGGTTTATAAGTTACGGTTTTCAGAATTGAATATTGAAAACGAAAAATACTTCAATTTTTTTTTCATGAAATTTTAGTAATAACTTCAAAAAAAAAAAAAAAAAAAAA